ATTAAGCTGTATTAAAAATCTTTTTAAAATATATCAAACTTAATAATAAATCTGTATGTGCCTCAATTAATTGGATTCTTTGTTTACTTCTAAATACTACATAATTTTAATGATCTTGATACGATATTAAATAGGCGGATAGCTGTTATCTGAATAGTAATTCAGTAAAGCAAGTAATGACTGCCAAGGGATACGTGAAGCCTGCGGAACTTATCGTGGCTTGCATAATATTCACATTCTGTTCACAAATTTAAGCAAGAACAGTGAGAACTTTCATATAACAACAATTCATATATGAACAATATATACAATCAATCATTTAAATTACTTGTAAATTAAATATTTAAACTGCACAATATAATAACCATTCTTTCCTAAATAATGTACTGTAATCGTAAAGTTAACAGTATTTCCCGCTTCAACTTATATTTTATATAATATATGCATTAACCAAATTTGAGGTGCATGCATTTAAGATCGAGATCTACAGTAAAACCAGCGAGATTCGCAAGGTTCACTAAGATATACTCTCTATACGCATAAATATATATTCCCCAAGACCTGGAGATGTTTATGTATTTATGCAACATTATCGCTGCAGTGTAGTCGCATTCGAACGCTTCGCAATACTGCTATATATGTCAAGATGTTACATTTAGTCGACTTAATATAATTGTATAAGGTATTATCAAAATATTTAAACAATTTCTCAAAAGTATATTTTTTAACAAAACAAAAGGGGAAATAAAATTAATATTATTATTTAACTAGTTATGAGAAAATTTAAAAATTAACTTTTAGATTAGAAAATAATTTGACAGTTAAAATTGTAGTGAACAAAGGAATTTATTCGACTTGTCTTATGAAAGAGCCAATAAGTTAGCGTCTTTGGGCTTGACACGAAAATACATAGAATATAATTGAAAGCGCGATATTGCGTATTAACGTGACGAATTTATCTGAAGGTCGTAACAAAGAATTTAAATTAAAATCTGCATTAAGTTAAAAAACGCGTCAACGTTTTTTTAATCTAATACTCTCACATAGATTAAAATAAAATGATAAATTTATGGTCGATCACAAATTAAATCGTACAAGGCGATATGAAATGTCATCAAGACTATTTTATACATATATAATCGTTGGATTCAATAGACTGACGATACTTAATTTCCATTATATAACTTTTAAGCACTATTTTTTCGTATCGTTTACTACCTGTAATTTTACTATTATTTATTTTAATATAAAATGATTTATGTACATATTAATTTTTAATATAAAATAATTTAAGAAAGAGAGAAACAAAAACAGAAAAATTAATTTTGCTAAAATATGACAAATGTAGTTTTTATTTTAATGAGTAATAAAATTTCCGTTTTTTAATAAAAATTAGTTCTATACGTTCGATACATTTTTTACATATGTTTCATATTTACATTTATGGAAAATAAATGTATATTTGATAAAGAAACATCGTTTTTTTTTTGCTATTTGGAACAATGATCGTATCGACATCGACTCAATATACCGATAACGTGTACATGAAAAATGGTACATCCTTCCGTGAGACTGAAAGGTTTGATAAAATTAAATTTCCTAAAAAACGGATTCATTTAGAAGTTATTTATAGATCTATATATCTCTCCAATGAATACACATAAAAACGGTTTGGACAGAGTGCCAAATATGTCACAGGTGGTTTCATAATTAACTAATGTAAACATGAATTAATTATGAAGCATTGCAACGATAAAAATATCTTATTAAGACTCAGAATGAATTAATTAGAAAATGTAATGCTTGAATTTCGTTGTCAGAGTGCCAAAATTATTTCTGAAGTATAATAAGCGGAAATTAAGTATGTAGGAATTTCTTCTGTTTCTTTTTAATTTCAAAATTAAAAAAGCACTAGTTATCGAAATTTAATAACACAACTCTATTTCGCATATAAATGGTAATTGTTAAATTCGTCTAAAAAACGCAATCAAGTAATGGATTTGATCCATTATTGCCTTTTTTACGAAGTAATTAATTAAAGTAGCTTTAAGACATTTTAAAATTACGATACAAAGAAGGATAAAACAGTTTTTACACAAAGTATAGTATATTTATTGCATTGCCTAAAAATGTTAGCTATTCCACCAGATACAGTAAATCACAGGATGATGCCATGCTTTCATGCAAGGTTACAGAACGCACGCAAGCTGCAATCTAATCGATGTTGTACTCGTAATTCTGAATATGTCGTAATCCGGAAAGCGAGCATGCAAGTCTTGAATTTACTTTCTCATTTTCCAACAATCAATGATGATACAAGCGTTTATATGTCATATATAATGCTTATATTCATAAAACATTTTTCACAAATTTACACATCCGGATTTTTTCTATTACATATATTTCACTTCAAATATTTTTTTTATTAAAAATTATCCAAAAAAAGAAAATATTAAAGAAAATATTTAAAAATATGTCTTTAAGCTTTACTTCAAAATCACACAATATATATTAACAAAAGGAGATTTTAAGCCATGCGAAGATAGAAGATTCCCGCATGCTTTTAGAAGTAATGTCTCAGAAATTTGAATAAAGTACATGGACGAAGTGATCGAAATGCCTCACGAACTATCGAAGTATCACAATACAATGGCGCGACTCCAGCAAATCCCTTGATCGAAGTCGATCGATCTTTCGTTATGACACTTCCAAATCGATGGTTTCCGAGCGTCATCTAAGCGATTTGCGCCAACACGAGCCGTCTGTCACGTTGAACACCTTGAGGTATTCATAGTCCTACCGTATCACCGTCTCGCTATTAATACTTGAGGCAATTTTAGTTTTCAAACGTATGCCAAGAATAAATACACAGTTGTGTCGCGACACGTAAATGTAAATATAACGGTGAATTTGATCTCTTTGAAGAAGTTTGATCGTGAGGCAATCGCGAAGTCAAAAAATCAAACAGAGCACACATCGTCAAATCATTTAAGTTCGAAACCATTTATGTTTGTCAATATAAAGTTTCCATAGAAATATTTTACGATTCTCTGTAATCTCGTGTCAGATCGTATGAATGGAGAAGGCCAAGTAGATGAGATAATATAATAAAATAGAATAAAATAAGGATACGATGAAGTCTCTAATTGTGAAAGAGATAAATTGAAGTACTTCTAGCGACACAATTCAAGAATTGTTTTATTGGAACGACATGTGTGCCAAGTCGGTGACTTGAAGTATAAAATACTACGAAATGCAACAATCGTGACAGTTCAGTGCGGTAGGCGCTTTCCGCTTTCAACTCTTTGTTTCAACATGCATGTTGTGTCGTAACTATTGACCCGCGAAAACTCTCAAGGAAAAAAGTTACCTTGTCTGTCAGTCACGAACTGTGTGATTCTTGGCAGGCAAAGAACGACGGACGACGACCGAAAACTACCAATTTCGTAGTGAAAAATAGAAGTTCGCCGCTAAATTCGTGACTAGAATTTATCAGTTGCAAATGTTACGTTTGCCGATGTAATGCAAAAAAGATACCATCATTATTATCGAACAGCTTAATACGTTTTTAATGCAAGATATTCATGCAGTCGTCTAAATAATTAAATAATAATTATATCATTTTAATTACGGAATCTTAATTTAATATGTGGATAATAATAATAAAATCATTACATTTTAATTATCAATCTAGTTACTTAATTATTTATTATGTCACTTTCAAATAATATCATTACCTTTACTTTACATATTCAATAAAAAGCAACACACTGCACATTTACTCGGTTCTTCCATTCGTCTTATAAATTAACTTTCGTGAAGATACATATCAAACTATTTTGTATTCCACAAGCATTACTGCGAATACTATTTTTCATCTCAACTCACGGATTTAGAATTAAAACCGTGACGCTAATAGATAGAGGTCTATGATATACAGAAGAATGCGCTATTTCTGTTTGTGATAATCGGTTTTTTTTTTAACTTTTTCATTGGCATAATAAACGTTGCTTCGCAGATGTTCAAAATGTCACATTTCTGTAATTAGCGCTGTAATTAATTATATGGATATTTAGGGCAATTCGTTTGTACATACACGAAAATCTAGTCAGCAAATAAACACTTGGTTATACGTTTAATCCGCCATTATTCACGTAAAACATTGTAAATTAATTGACATTTAAGTAAAGATCTTCGCATTTTGATTTATCTTTTTTTTTTAAAGGATCGAATTAACCAATCCTTATTTTATTCTAAAAATTCCTACACATTGAAAATGAATGAAAACTATTATAAATAGATTTATATATTTTTTATATTCAAAATTATCCGAATAAAGGATGCAGAACTTTGTCGAGAATTTTTAAGTTGATCAGAAAACGCGAGATATCTATAGATAATTCGGATATACATTAAGAGCTTGACTTTATCTACTGGTCAGTGATTTTACGAGCGTGATAAGAAGCGTTTGCATGTTAGTGAATCCAAAATCGCGTTTTCGACTTTCGGAGTCTAATTTAGTGAAGCTTCATGACGTCTTTGTTCTGTTCTCCACATACTCGCCCTCCCTTACAGTCGCATTATAAAGTATTTCTTTTATTCTGTTTGTTCATTATAATTCAAATAAAACGTATAGAATCAGAAATTGATATTTTGATAAAAATATTATATTATATATAAATTAATTATATTAAAATATTATTTTATTAAATATAAAGCTCCTTTTGAAAATTCTTTCAACATAACGAGACCTCTTTTTAAACCTGCTAGAAATGCTGCCAGAAATGAATATCCTCATTCATGCTGGTAAAATAATATTTCCTTCAGAAACGGATATGACAGCATCGCTTCATATTATACGATTCATTAAAACCAAATTTTCTAATTTGATCGCGAGCGTCTCAAAGTTCCTGTCTGCGCCAGGGTGCTTCTAAAATAGATTATCATCGCTAATGATGCTCGCCAAATGCGACGATGCTTAGTCGCTCCTCCGACAACAAAGAGATATTATCGGAACTGCACACGAGAGCAATTACTTCGTAAATCGTGAATTAGGCAGGCATCGCCTAGCGACTCCCACGTGTCTCTAGTTGCGGCGCGTCGCGAGGGGCCGCGGTTTCCTCGACCCTGAGGAGCGTCGCGACGCCTCGTGCACGTCTCAGTGCAAGGGTGCCGTTCACCAAGAGTGCGCCGTCTCCACTCGTTCTGTCATTTCTCGCTCTTCTCTATCTCTTCTCCGCGCACATTACCGCGCTCTTCAAAGAGAGAAACGCGATAATACGCGCTTTCACGTGGATCAACACCGCGAGTGCGTTTTCAGAACTGTACCCTCGACTCCAAGTAGCATCGCAAAGGCAATCGCGCTATCGAGCTGGCATCGCATGTCTGGATCAAGCGCAAGCCCGGACAAGCAGAGATAATAACCTTCGTGGAGGGACCTTGACGTATCACCGTCACGGCACACATCGCGTTACACAGTGAATATTTCAATACAGTATCGATCTACCGCGTGTAAAATACGTGTGTGTCGTGAGTGTCTGTGCTCTGCTCTCAAATCCCGTGTCGTCGTGTTTTCTCGTAGAAAAAGCCTTCCTTTCATCTCGCGCTATGTATATTGGTATACCATTATACGCGCTGTCATCTTGTCACCCTGTGAATCCACCTGTCACGATAGAGTGCGTGCGTTCGTGTCACGCGTGTGAATATTTCAACGTATTATCGATCTACGCGGAACACGTGTTCCGTGAGTACCAGCGTGATACCGATCATCCTTATCATCTCGATAGTCCTGTGATCAATGTTACCTTGAATTTACCACGCGGTACTAATCTACCCGAATGTCAACAGACTACCTGAAGCAGTAGGATCGCGGTTTTCACACGGCACTAACTTTATCGAATCGCAAGATCACATTACATTTTTATTTCAAAGAAGTTTCAAGCTAATTTTCGCATAAAAACACCAGTCGCTCATTCGAGTCGCGGTACTCGAGTACGAAACTGATCCAAATGTCACAGTGTGACCGTCACACCGTTTATTTGCGTTACCGCAGAGACGCCGGAATCCGAACTTTTCCATCTAATCGCGTGTAGTGTGAATATTACAATACGAAATCGATCGACTGCAACACATGTTTCATAAATGCCTCTGTATAACCTGTCGTGACTTTATTTTTCTTCGCCTGTCTACGGTAAATCAAGTAAACGCGTCTATTCAATGCCAATGAGTATATCCGATATGAATGATAATTTCCTTTCAAGTATACATAACGAAAGAAATTACGTATTGAAATTGTACAGCACAAAGTTTAAACTCTCCGGGCGAACGCTGCAGTCACTAATGTTGGAAACATAAATAGAAAAAAAGTTCTTAACAACCGTCATTTTCTATTATTCCATGCTTTATCCTTGTAACGTGCGCCTGTGCACTCACGCCAATCAAGTTTCTTATGAATATTTCAATATAGCATCGATCTACGGAAGCTAAGCAGATATTCCGAGTATTCGCTCTTTTATAGCAATAACGCGGCTGTTGCATAATCGCGGTAATAATTCCATGCAGGTTATACGTAAGATAACTTTCTATCACCCTTTCATCGCGGAAGATTAAACATTCGATAAATTGAAGTAACGCGTCCGCTTTTTTTTATCACGACAGACGACTCATTATTTCTTATATTTATAACTTATTAAATTATTATATATTCATAAAAGTATATTTCCTACATTATAATTTTATTTTTTTATGCACGACAAACCAACATTTTTCATTCATATCGCGGATTTGATACTTGAACGTTCTTTATATGAATATTTAATACGGTTCAACTATGTGAATTATCCATCGATTATATACTTTTACCCATTTTCCTGCTTTCGTTCTCGTCGTATAATAGTGCATTCATTTGTCACTCACTGTGTTCTCGTTATGTTGTAAAAAAATATTCATGGATCTTTAGATCGTTCTCTATGTATGTATAATTACAGCTTTTAATCAACTGTGAGTTTTATGTCGGTGTTGTCTCGCTCGTAATGGCATTCCGACAGCGATGATAGACGACCATCTCGCCCTTGTACATATTATCGCGAAGACAGCTGCTCGCTTGCTTTCTTCGTGTAAAACTTCGAAATTTGCATGGAGTTTGACCGACTGCTTCCTTCAGTAGTTACAGCCGTTAATAATTGGTCAAGATAGTGTGACTATCGAAATTTCGTAAGAAAATATTTATAACTTTCGAGTATAAAGTTCTCTTTTTCGAAGTAAACAAATTAATATCGTACTAAGCGTTTTGTACTGTTGTACAGAAAAAAATAAAAATCATGATGGAATTAGAATAATCGATCGGAATTAAAAATTTCAAAAAATTTTCTTGCTCGGCTCATAGTCCTTTATCTTGTCTTTTTAATTTTTAAAAAGATTCGTTTGAAATTCGATTGTTAAAATGGCTTATTGTAAAAATATGATATATGAGTATGTTAACTAAAATAATAAAAATAAAAAGAAAGCAATCGATTTATAATTTAACATTAAAGTGGTTTTAAAAAATCGATTTATAATTTAATACTAAAGTGGTTTTAAAAAATTAAAGAGTGATACAATCTTGGATTAATTTAAGTCAACTTTTGGTGTTGGATTTTGAAATATTTGATAAGTATTATAATTGTAGTTAAAACATGATTAACATTTCGTGTCTAACATTTAGAATTTAATTAATAATTATAATGACAAATAATGATTAGAATAATTCTTAATATTTATGTGATAATTATATATATATATATATATATATTTACAGCCACACTTTATGACAGTAATGATACAGCACTTTAGTGTAAATCCAGGGATAAATCTTGAAACCGGCACTTGTTTTACTACCAAGAAAAGTTGAATTTTCTCCACGGTACGTGACTCGATAGTAGAACAAGATCAGAGGATTTTGTAGAAGCGAGAGATAAATTTCAGTAGTTCGTTGCTACAGCATTGCAGCGTTCGTGCAATTTGTTTTTCTCGTACATAATTAGTAACTAAAACGTTTAGCCAATTGAATCACCCGCTTATTTGCTTCAAATTCCTTATACTTATATACAATTTTTTATAACTCATAGCTAGAATGTATTAAATTAAAATATGTCAATAACTTCAAATTTTCATCATTTTTGTTTTATATATTTCTAATTTTTTATTTAGAAATGTTTGAACATATATTAAAATTAAATGGATATAAAAATGATGCTATAGCGAAATTTATTAGAAAACCTTTCCTATTTAGATATTTTAACATTTTTTAAGACGTATACGTCACTTTTATTGCAACATTTTATATAAGAAATAGAAACGACAGTCTTGCTTTAAGTTCAATAACTAATATAAACTCATGGTCACGTACCTCTTCCTAACTATAGATCAAATGAAATAGTAAGACATTTACCTCGTTAACTAATTGCCGTACATAGCGCCGTCAGGTACGCGTTTAAAGAAAAAGTTCAAGCAAAAAAAACTTAATTTCATTTCCCAGTAATATCGAAGAACTGATCCTAGAATACTGGAATACTAAAATCGATTTTAAGGCACGTGTGTATCATTGGAAAGTCATTCGAAAAACATACGCCACAAACTTTAACTATCAAATCAAATGTTTCAAATATTTTTTGCATACTCTTAAAAAAAGTTTTTAAAATTCATGTACTGTAAAAATAACATTCCAGCAAAATTCTTTAGAAAATTATTTTCATAAAAATATTATAACAGTATTATATATTTTAAAATTATACGGTCGAAATTAAAGCATCGTTAATGTATTATTAATATCAATTTGAGAATAGCGGTTAGTATTTCATGATATGAGGAGATTTTATTCATCAGAAGATTACAGAAAATCTTCTTGGCAGTGCAGCCAATATATTCTAAAAATATTCAAGAAATACGAGTCAATACAAATTGCATTCCTCTACCTTTGTCATTATCAAGTATAAAATATTGAGCATTAAAATGAATCGAAAGTAATCTCTTGTTTTCACGCATTTTACCTTGCATATACATGTATCTGTGTCGCTACCGTGACAAAGCAGTCTACTTTAAATCAATCGAGAGACTCGCTATTAAAGCTTGTGCCGTTTCTACGACGAGACAGTTCTCCCACGAAGAGGCAAACGTTAGTTGACGCGCGCGTTACCCGTGCCACTTGTAATCCAACGTTGTGCGTTACTACTTTGCGGTTAATTGAAATTTTTCATTTTTATAAATTTAATTTTTTTAAAAAGTGAAAACATCGTTAAGCATATTTAACGACTTTAAACCGAAATAATTTTAAATGTAAACTGTATAAACAGTGAAATATTAAATAGCGTGAATTATTTTTAATAAAAGCAAAAAAAATATATTTAATATTATTTAATATTAAAAATACCTACTATATAAATGGATATTTAATGTTATTAAATATTAAAAATACTAAATCAATGGATATAATAACTGCAAGAAAGTGATAATACGAACTTTATTATGTCGTTATTTAGAATGTATCGAACTAGAAGATTATATAAAAAGAATTTATGTGTGCGTGACTACCTTGTGTAACAAAATTATCGTTGTCTTCTTCGATAATCTCAGTTTAACTAATGATCTTCTCGATTTTATCAAGATTGCCGAGTTGTATAAGATATGTAAGATAGAGCAATAAAGCACTGTTTCAAATCAAAAGACGAATTGCAACAGTGTTCTCAGATAATCAAAAGTTCTAGGTTTTAAATCGTTCAGTGTTTTCCGATTTTCATAATGTTTCACTCGCGCGCCACAGTAAAATTTATTCGAAAAATGAAAAAATTAATATGATGCATCAAACGATTCACGATGTGTACGTTCATTCAGTTTGGATAAATTACATATTTATTTATTTATTCTATATTAGTTATATATTAAACTCCTCAATTCATTATTAAAAAATTATTCTTTTAAATCTACTTTAGACTTTTTCTAATTTGTGATAAAATTCTATATTTGTCATATATTTTTGAATATATAATAAGAAAAAATGGAGATAGGATATACACATGTACAAAATACAAAGTATCCAAAGAATACTTATAACCATTTAAGAATATTAAAATATGTTTCATAAAATTATGAAGAAAAAAATTCTGTATTAAACTTCAATACGAATTATATTTCAAATTATCGCGAAGATCGTCCAAAGTGGATTTAAGATAGTCTTGGCTGCATTCCAGGCATGGAATGGCTTGGAAAGACTACAACCATATGAGTCCCTGAGGAGGTAATTTTCAAAATGCAAATTTTAAACTAAAAATTTCATATATGCTTTAAATTAGATGGGTATAATATATGTATAGTGAATTCTAATTTTTTGATTCTTTTTCTTTAAACTTCCTTGTACAAGCTTGTATCCGTTTACATCTTTATAATATTTCTTTTTCAAACTTCTTTAGCAATTTTAACTTTCCTTAATTGATTCTTCTTATTTGATCCTCTTTATTCGATGTTTTACTTCGATGTTCCTTTTTCTATAAGATAAATGTTTCATATCTTAATTTTCAATCTTTTATGTATATAATTTTCCTTTTAATTTTTTATTTTCTAATTGTTTTTTTTAATACATCTTATTTTTAATTTTTCTTCTATTAACTTCCTTTTTCAACATTTAATATTCTTTTTAGAACTGAATTAAAAATTAAAAACTAATAATAATAAAATTAAAAACTAATAATAATAAAATTTCTTTCATTGTGAAACATTTTTTAAATTAATTTAAGCCACGCACCAATTGCGCGTGCTCATCTTTACACATAATTACATATTTAATATAAAAATTTAATACTGCACCTGCTGCATAATATTATTTTTACAGTAATGCTGATATTATTATCAATTTGACAAAAGTACTTATTAAAATGTTGACACTTAAACTTACTTTCATTTAAAGAAATTTTTACGTATATACATATAAAGCGTAGATTTTACTTATTCTCAGTATTTTGGGATCAAGCGTCGATTATCCTTCGAGAAGTTCGACCAAAATCGCGCGGTAAAAGATCGCTACTATTCTTCTTGTTCGACCTAGATCAACTACGTGAGTGCTTTAGAACTACGCGGCAGCAGGAAGTCGGTAAAAGTTAAGTGCACCGACCATTCGCTGCCGGGGTTCACTTTCAGTGCCATCGCACGAGCAGTTTAAATCCCGATCCCAATGTCGTCCGACGTTGCACCACGTCGGTTTCTTCTGTGTTCGAGCGCGACATCATATGCCCAAGTTGGCATTTGTAACGTGTCAAGATTGCTATACTCGTAATATATTTCGCCATGAGTTAACAAATCAGCGTGTCCAGAATCGTAAGAAAAAAAAGGAAAAGAAAAGGAAAAAGGGAAAACTCTTATCGGAGAAATCACAAAGTCTAATATGAAATCGTTTAACGAGATTTAGGAAAGGATTTAAAAAAAAAAACGCTAAAACACCCTCGTATCCTCTTGTGATTGTCGCGCACCGCCACCACCACCACTGCCTCTCTTCCACGCGCATTCTCGAGCACTCGTCGAATCGACCGAGCGTATCGAATGGTCGAGTAGAAGTTAAAAAAAAAGCCGAGAAAAAATAATACACATACACACCACGAGAAATACGCCGACAGCGAGATCGTGTACCGAAGTCAGTCATGAATCTTATGTTCCGCAAGAACTTCGGCGAGAAGGGACTCGGTGGTGGCGGACTAGGTGGAGGAGGACTGGGGGAAGTTCGGCCTGTCCTGAGCACCACTACTTACGGGACCAGCGGGGCCTCATTCGGCCAGACAGGAACGCGTTTTGGCGCTACGCGCGGTGGTATCGGCCAGTCAGTGGTCAGTAGCGTGCGTGGACCCGTACGACGCAGCAAGGAATTCGGATACTTTCCGATGGCCGATCACGAGCACCAGGGACATGGTTATCGTACTCACTTATTCCTATCACCGCCTGCAGGTGGGGCACTCGGTTCACCGTCCGAAGAACCAGGCGAGCGACTGGGTCCGCCGCCACGTCGTAATTCGGGCCCCCATGTGATTAAATGGGGTGGCGGTGGGTCTGTCAATTCCACGCAGGGCGGTCAGACCGGCAATCAGGCCAGAAGAAAGCAAAATCAGATCGGTCAGCAGAAAGAACCTTCCGACCCACCAAGCCCGACTGCGTCTAGGCAGGTGAGTGTTACATTTAAAATCCATAAGAAACTCGAAGGGACCAAGAAAATAACTTGGATCTTTTCTAAGAAAAAGAGCAAACGATAGACAAAGTGTCAGCTGACTGTTGTGTCATTTGTAGAAAACGATTAAAAATGATAAAATGGGGACAAAATGTACTAAATTTTAATAAATATTTATTTTAATAGTATACTTAAGTGAATATTCAGTTATTATTAACTGAATATTCACTTAATACAGTAAATAAACATTTACTCAATAAAAATGATAGTTAAATTAATGGTTTTTGTACCAAATATAAATATATCTTTATATTTAGTAAATATTTAGTTAGCACTATTCAAACAAATATTTAATAAAATTTAGTACATTTTTTTGCGTACCCATATGTAATTATATTGTTACATGCATTATCAAGGATTTTCCATGAACCGCACAATAGTTGATCGACAGTTTGTCATCTGGTTTTGATTTAACGTTTAACAACGTTTCTAATACAATTAAAATTTTTTAATTTAAAATTATCTAAATTTTCCTTTAAATGCGTATTATTTCCGAGCATTGATTTATGCTATTTTTGTAAGCTATATAGAATATTCCAAAAAGATTAAAAAATAGAGGAGTATATCAATTTATCTATCTGCTAATCTAGAGAAAAACTTGTTAAATAACAATAAATTCATACTACGATATGAAATAGCACGCCAATAAACTATCAAGCGTGTTTATCTTTCAATGTGAGTCACGCACGGAAAACTGTTGTAACATGTTGTACCCTGTACTTAAGCCTAATTATAGTCATTTCCTACACAATCGACAAACTGAATTATTAATCTACAATCGCTATTTCGCTTTTTCCGACGTTAGAATTATTCTGTCTAACAAGAATGTTGGTGGTTTGCCTTTCGGCTGTTCGTCCAATATATCTCGTTACCCGCAAACTGTCATATGCATAAGCGCAAGAAATTTTAACATTACATATAGAATGATACAGACCAATTTACCGTCTAATTTATAACGATTATTTAATAACGACTTTACCTTATAATTTATACATCATTTTTTAAACAGAAAATAATTACTTTTTCATATTAGGCGTGCGTGCACATAATTTTGTGATTAATTATAGATGTAATTGAATTAATTTTACGCTTAAGTATACGTTTCCTACCATAGAATAAAATTAGTCATATTCTATTATTCCCTAAAAATAAAAGAATTAGCTAAGAAATTAAAGGGATATTAATATAATAAATCTTGGGAGGGGGAGGAGGGACTTCTTGATAGACTAATCGCTTTCCATTATCGTTATTGAACCAAGTATATATCCATTTATATCACCATTTCTCATAAAGGGCCACGGGATAGCGAAAAATTTTGCAATAAAGCAAAGTTACGGAGGAAATAGGAGACCGTTTATAGGAGGGAAGACATAAAGTAGCACTTACGCGCGCGCTCAAACGGTACCCAAAGTCGCTATCTTATTGCAAGTCGTGGTGAATCCGAGAACATGCCATAAATTCCTCACAGTGCAAATATTCGATAATTAACATCTATTGTTTATTATCAGCCCATCCGAAACCCGTATCGCATTCCATCACCATATTTTCGTGAACGTTCAGTATATTGTATTATACACATGAGAAGAGACATTTTCGGGCATAAGCACTTTACGATGTAATGAATCTCACCGCTTGATCCGTAAACAGAGATTGTAATCAAGAATTTAGGGCATATTATTTTATCCTTGTTGCTCATTGAATGTTAAACATGAATAAAATGATATCTAAGTGCAGCCGAGTGAAATTTCTGAACGCAGGGCAGTTTTAACCTTTAATAATGTTTTATATTTTACGTAACGATATTCTTAGTGTGTTGATTATGAAATTGAAAAACAATAATAATTTGTAACAAACTCGTCAAATTATTATTATTAGTATTAATTTTAAACTAAAAAATGTATTAAATTTTAATAGATATTTGTTTAAATAGTATTAACTAAATATTTATTAAATGTAAACATATATTTATTTGATACAACAATAATTTAATTTAACTATCATTTTTTCTTGAGTAAATATTTATTTATTGTAAATAAATGCATAGTTAGTACTACTAAAAAAATATATTAAAATTTAATAAACTTTTTCTCAGTGTAACATTAAGCAATGCTACACTGTCTGACACATTTATGCCAGCGCTACAATTATCGTAATTAAGCTTAGAAATGTATCGATAAAAAATATTGGAAGAATACGACAAGAAAATGTAGAATTCTTCATAAATCTCCTGCTAAACTTCTCGCGTGATCGAAAAGAACGTGCTGAAAGTGCGAGAGATATAAGTGCGGAAATTCACGATTGAAGTATTGCTGCGGCTTTCACGGTCTGACAAAGACCGCAGTGTCGTGCAGTAACCTGTGACCTTTACAGTGCGCACCGTGGACATTTACCATCATGTGTACTGAATGCAATGTAATTAAATATCCAAACACGCATGTTGGCACACTTTTTCTATGTATCGATTGAACTTATGAATGCAGTAAATGCATTCCAATGCAGAAAACACTGTCATCGCACATTACGTACTGCAGCATGTAATGCAGAAAGTTTGCACTTTAAAGGTGCATACAAACAAAACGAACATGATTTGCTAATTAATTTCATATTTTTCATTTACTTAAAATATTAATTTATGTATATATAACAATCAAATATTTATTATTTAGTATTTTATTGTAATTTCATGCATTGCAGTTTCGCAGAGACAAAATGAAAATTGAAAGAGATGTCAAATGATTTTCTTCACAACAAAATAAATTATAAATTATAGATATGTTCAATAAATAGAGAATATAATTATAATAATAAAATTCAATCAGGAAAATTACAAAATTTTATTGAAAATGTCATAGCATAAATTTAATTTACAATTAACGAACTAAAGTATATTTGTAGTATCAGTTTTTAGGAATTTCTTAATAATCCTTTTTATATCTTTTTCAAGATATAATATTTTTGTTCTTATTTATTATATAAAAAATCCATCTTAAGAAGTACATTATCTTTGAAAAAAATACTATGAAAAGTTTATGTCAAATACTCTCAATGATGCATTGGCAAATTAGTAGTTTGATTATATCGGGCATTATACACATATGTTGTTTGTTTATGCTGTATGCACCTTTAGCATGTTGAGGATTGAAAAAGTACAGTAAACATTTCCCAATGGAACCATTATTGCGAAATAGTCGCCATTCGGTGCCTTAATTAATGTATTATATATACGCAATGTGTGTGACATTCGGAATTTAACAGCTGTTTGGGATAAGCTAATACAATAACCACAATAGAATGCAATGCATGAGTTGACAGCTTGTTTGTAACTATAGATGATTAAACTCTTGATTGTACTATTTTAATTTGATTATCAAAATAAAATTATGTGTAAGTCAGATATAAATGCAGGGTTGGCAAACGTTACTTTTCAGTTACTTTGTCATTACTTTCTATAGTAAACAATTTGATGACGATGTTGCAATTTTTTATGACGGTAACACTAACTAACTAAACGCTAAGGTTGTACTAAGGTTAGAAAACTCACTTTGAAAAGTAACTTGTCATTATTACGCGTTACACTGAAAAAGTTATAAGTATAACGAATAACGCGTAACGTTACGCGTTACTAAAAATAACGTGTTACAAATTAGGAGTTATTTTTTCCAATAACGAATGACTTTTTCAATCCATTACAAGTAACGATTGACTTTTCTAACTCTGATGTTAGCATTACCATCATAAAAAATTCACAATGTCATTACCAAAACGTTATTATAACAAGGTAACGGTCAACAAAGTAACGTCATTACAAGTATATATATATATATATATAATATATAACACATTACTTGCCAACCCTGTATAAATGTTGGTGCGTATCATGCGTGCGAACGCAATGCAAGTAGAAATCTTGCCATAGTTACTACAACGTTATGCGACATACTATTTTTACACACTAAACAGCATGCAAATTGTTATTGATCGTAAAAGTATTTCGCCGCATATGTACATTTCGCACAATATTAACGATGTGCACACATGTATTTTCCATGCATGCACTGTTGCAATGTATTAAATTCATAGTATGCACATCTCTGTATATAGAAAGACACGAAGGGTCTTCTTGTAATAATTTATAGCGAAAACGTGACAGTACGATGAGAATAATTTCAATAATAAAGTTGATTAGAATATTATGATAAAAACTGAAGTTTTATTTTTTATAATATAAAAAGAAATAAACGATAAATCATTGTTCTTCTAAAATGTCTCTTCTCGGTGCATTCTATTCAGTTCTACTTTATAAAAGACGATGTCTCACGCTTGCCGGCCGCCGGATGAAAAATTACGAAGCGATGTGATCAATCGTTAACGTCGAGTGCACTTGCAAAATTGACATGCAACGTAAATCGCATTGCACCAACTTTGAACGTGAGCTGTAAAGTTGTCAGGTCTACGAGACTTTACGTGAAACGGCGGAAAAAACGGCGGGCCGAAACTACGACGATAACTGAGCTTTGACGCAAGTAGTAAAAGACAAGTCGAGTCGGACTCGAGCGCGTACGTGCGAACGCTGGCAGCGACGTTCTGTCTATACCCACAGCCTATTTTCATTTTATTTGGACACGTACCTTGACATCTTTACTATTACTGCTATAAACGTATTTGCGAAATATGTCTATGCTCGTAAATTTACTGCACATGTTGCACATACTAGGATATCTCTCAGCGCTTTCATCTTTAATCCTGCGAAGATGATCTACAACCTCATAAGCCGACATCGATTCTTTTAAGTGCAGTGAAATTTTTTAAGAGATAAAGAATATAATGTAGAATTTAGTTCGAATCTGTAAATATATAATAAGAGAGAAAAAGAATCTTTCTCTCATTAGAAAAATTTATAGCAACATCGTTAATCTATTGATACCAGTATAATCTTATGAAATCATGTTGCTATCGCAGAAATAAAGATATTTTAAAATGTAAATAATAATATTTTGAGATTATATTTAATAAAAATTAATTAATTAATAATTATTTTTCTATTACGTTTCATTAATAAATTAATAATTTTGAATAAATGTTTTAACACATTTAATTAAAAGTATAGGGATATCGAATTAGGATTATACGATCAATAAAATGATCAGGATGAGTTTTCATTTCGTACATGTTTCGAATAATATTTCATATACCCATTTAATTACTGATATTCGTACGAACCTTATGTTCTGTGATGGATTTTACAGTATGAGATATTAAATGAATATAAATTGATATGCTACTCTGATTAGAGAGTCTCTGACTTCACTTACCTCTTCAATTTCTCTCGTTGTTTAAATTTTTAAAATTTCTCTTTCATGGCTCCCAATTAATACAGCATTTTTTATTCGTGTTTTAAAAATTGTTGAGTCATATTTCTAATACATTTAGTATATATATATATATACATTTAATATAATTTTTTAATTGTATTATCGTTTTACAGGTATCCTTCAGCGGAAACCGTACTTCCGGTACTTACACACCTCTCGTGGTTTCTGGAAACAGCCCGCCACGAGGCGAACCAATCTCTTTGGCCACTTTGGACCGTGACTGCTTTATTATACCTCTCGCTTCTCTCGAACGTTTTTTACCAGCCGGTGTACCAGTAAGTCAATACAAAATATACACGTGTTTTTTTAAGAAGAAAATATTACTATAAAATTAGAGTGCTACAGAATTAGTGGAAAGTAAACACGCAGCATTATTCTTCCTTTCCAAATAATAAATATATCAAATGAATAATGAGATGCTCACCGCATGGTTCCTCCGTTGTCTGATACCTCCTTGGCCTCTTCCTTCTCTCTTATTTTCCCGTTCTTTTCTGATACACAATACCTGTACATGCAAAACACATTAATTATTGTACATATAATTACGCATGTAAACATAAAAAATTAGAATACAATAATAACGCTGCACTTTGCACGGCATTTCCGTTAATCGCGACATTAATCGCATGCGATGCACACTTTATATTCCCAGAGAACACGAATATATATGTATATATATATATATATATCGCTTTTCTTATTTGCTATAACAACACAAACTTAAAAAACGGAGTTTAATTCTTAGAAAATGAATTTCAATGTTTTGAACCATTAAAATTTTATAATATTAATTTTGAAATGCAATTTTGGTAATAACTGATTGTAGAAGAATAAACGTATGTTCTTTATTTTTTTTAAGCTTCCGTTCTTTTTTTACAAACAACTGAAAAATAACAATTTTTGTTGTTGTAGCAAATGAGAGATATTTTAAATCGCACATCGTGGCGAAAGGAATTTTGTATAATTTTAAAATTTGTTCATTAAAATATCAAAGTATTGTAATATTCGAGTTACAAGTCATTGTAAAGTAATGTCACAGTAAAACAATGTTACTTAATGTTTTCATTAAGAGTAAATTAATTTTAAATATCACAAGAAATTGTAGAGCAATTTATATAAATCAAAGAAATAAAACAATTATTCTTTTTCTCAAGGGGTCTTTAAATTTTAAAATTGATGTACATACAGTAAAATATAATTTACTGTTGCTTGCTTAATTGGAAAATATTAACGAAATATTATAAAAATGTTTAGTACAATTGATAAATGTGCAATCAACAATTCTGAGCAAGCATAGCATTTGCTGAAATTAGAATGGTCAAGCTATTGGCCTTAGACTCTTGCGACCTTCCGTACAAATATCTAAAAATAGATAAAATATGTCTACTAGAGAAAGAAACTAGAGATGTCTAAAATAAAGCGATAGTAAGTCACGATTCTGAAAAACGCTATTATTTAATAAAACAGTAACAAAATTATATCTTAATACTTGCAAAAAGAGACAAAATTTATATTAAAAAACTCTGCTAAAAACTATTTTTGCTTTTGTATTCGCTCAAATAATAATTACGATTGACTTCGAATAATGATTACGATAAATCAAATTACAAAAAAAAAAATAAAATTAATAGAGTACATAGATTATAAATTACGCGTAATTGGTAAACTATGTATTCTACTCCACTTTCTTTGAAATTTAACTTTTATCGTTTATCAAAGCATGCTCCTGTCGCTGATAAGAAGAGACCGGGAAGTCCTCTGTCGGTTCTCGAAGTTGAGGACCCGAAGCAATGTGTTCTCGCGCATTTCATGACGCCACTGGAACCTCTGGACCCGCTAATGGAATCTCCAGTGTCTCGTCCGTTAGTCCTACAACGCGACACCGCCGCGGAACTAGTCGCCGAGATAGCACCTTCTGCTTCGCAAAGTATTTTACTTACGAATATGGAGAAGAACAGTACGTAAAATCAGATTATCCGTCTTCTGAAGACGGCGAGATAACGACGACAAATACTTTTTAAGATCGTTTAGTCGAATTTCCGTGTGTTTCAGCGGATTTCCCGTTCATCACGTATTATCTAATAAACAAGCAGAGCACAGACCCCGTAGATTTTTACAACGAAGTGCAATGCGCGGCTCTACGTAAGTTCGACCCTCGAGATCTCAGATACGCTGCCAGTCACACGTTAGATCTATTCAACGAGGTAGCAACCATCGCGAGACCGCCGCTCGAACCACCCGGTGGAAGACCGCCTATTCCATCCACCGGATACATAGTGTCGATTTTTAAGGTTTTCGAGGGAGACGACGGTCTCAAATTCGAACAAAACTGGCTCTATTGGACAGGTAGGTATTGTAATTAAGGTGAAAAATAATTTAAGACTAACCAGTATAATGCGAAGCAGTGGAGTTGTAATAGATGCTGATCTGTAAAAATACAAATATATTTAAATTAAAGTCTCCTGCAATATAATAATACTACATGATTTTCAAACTCTCTAAATTCTTTGGAGTGGAATCTCACTCTAAAGAGTGAAAATTGAACCAATTTTGAAAAAGAATAGCTTAATTTTCAATCTTTAAGAGTGAGATTCACTCTAAAAGTGTTAGAGAGAAAGAAAGCTTGCTAAATATTAATTTTTATAAAATTTTATAAATAAAAATTTAACTCTCATTACAATTCAATTATAAACATGTTGAAATATTTCATGTATTTTTTAATCAATATTAAGCCTTTTACAAATACTTTATAAAATATTTTAAATATTTCCTAAATTCAAAGCTAACAATAAAATGTTATATGCATTATGCAATAATAATATAGCGTAATATCGTCAAAAATTCCACAAACAATAAATATGTTAAATAAATAATAAAAATGCTCACTTTATAGTTGTTGTCCCGCCATCATCCAATACTTTTCTATCCTCCACTTATTTCCCTGTTGCTGCCTTTTTGTGTGGCACACACATTACCTACAAAACACACCAATTGTATTAGTATAATTATGCATGTAAAATCAGAATACAATTAGAATACAACGCGCGGCACTTTGCATTGTACTTTCATTAATCGCGGCATTAATAACACGCGACGCACACTTTATATATTATCAGGGGATTAAATAGTTTATTATGTTGTGGCAGGAAGAATAACACAAAAGAGTCTTCCCTGCGTACGAGTCAAGTACGATTTGCCATATTTGCAATTTTTGAAAACGGTTAGGTTTCCAACTACCCGAACAATAGATTTCGATCGAATAAATCTCGCGAAATATGCATTTCGCTATTAACCTCCATACGAGCGCCAAACTTACGTTAATGTGCAGTTGACGAATATCGATAAATGACTCGTTATAACTGCATTTAGAAATTAAACGATGCTGCTTGTCGAGACGCTACGCTGCTCCATTCGAAATTCATTCGCGAAATTCCATTTACAAAGAGTGCGTTCCGTTTCTCGCATGATGTGCATAATGCATCGTTTATCCTTGTTGCTCACCAAATGTTAAACAAGAACAATGGATGCATCATGCGCATCATGCAAGATACGGAACGCACCTAAAGATGATCGCCAACTTTACGCGCGAAACGAATTACACGGAATGATTATAGGAATCGTTAAATAAGACGCGATAAATTGTCCGAAAATATATTAAATGCCAATTTCAATATCGTATATATAATCTTTCAAATGCGTAATTTTCCCGCGAATAGGTAAATGTTGAATCTAATACGGGGTCTACAATAGAAGTCGTAGTAGTCGTAGAAAATTGACCAATCACAGTCAAATATGAGGAGAATAATCAACTGTGATTGGTCAATTTTCTAGGACTTAAGACGCTACGACCGCTATGACTTCTATTGTAGACCCCGCATAAGCATCGCTATAATGAAATAATTATCATCCGTGAACATAGCGATGAAATAGCAATTCGCACTTTTCGTTATCTACAACTTTAAAATACTCTCAAGTAAATTAATTACGCCAGTCTCAGGGCGCGTTCACACCTTGACGGAAAAACAGAAAGCGGAAAAGCAGTGGCCAATCACAACTCGCGTTAGTAGTAAGTAGTGCTAAAAGCCGAAATTGTCGACTACCGCGAGTTCTGATTGATTGCTGTTTTTCCGCTTTCTGCTTTTCCGTCAAGGTGTGAACGCGCCTTTAAGGAACGATTACCCACGCCGCCTCGAATAGCTCAAGAGTCATTAATCATAGTACTTAATTGATCGATTGCGTGAACTCAACTGATTGTTCGTAGAGAATGATTGTGTCTTATTTCCGTAACTATTTGTTGTTCCAAAAAGTATTATAACAACACAACAAGAGACAATTCAGGGAAATTGTCACAGAAAATGAATTTTAAAATGACTTTTCCAGGTTTTCCAGATGAAAACGGAAAATTTTCCAATATAAAATATGTAAATTTTAATATATTTAGAGTCAAGGATTGTAAGAAAGCTAACCTATATTATTAAAAACAATGCAAAATAGGCTTAATAGCATAATAAAATTTTGGGTGCAAATTTAAGCTAACAAAAAATAAATTAGTATTGGAAAAAAGAATGCAGTTACGAAAAAGGGTGATCGAATAAAAATACTGAATAAAATATAAATTTTAATTATTTTATTAAAATCGTTTAAAGTGAGTTTTGAACGTATTTGACTATAAAAAAACGTTCCGATATAATATATATTAAAAAATTATAACAATTATTTGGAATAGGAGCAGTTTAAGGAAATTGTGAGCAAATTTCAAAATTCCAGACTTTTTTATATTTTCCCCTGACTTTTCCTGGTTTTCCAGATCTGTGGATGTATAATTACAACTCTGTAATTATGCGTCGCTATCCATTTGCTCGAGTCAAGCTGCGCAAATGATAACAAAGCGATCTTGCGTGAATATCGCATACTGTGTATGTAATCATAACAATACGTTGTGCTAAACAGTTGTACGAAATATTTTACATATGAAATGCGAATATCAGGAAACACGGTAGTGTCTTGGTGCTAAGAGCACGCGCATTATAATAATGCGATGAGAGAGAGGCAACAACGCATCGCTACCCGTCCGCTTGAGCCATGCCGTGCAAATGATAACAAAGCGATCTTACATGAACATCGCACGCTGTGTATGTAGCTATAATACGTCGTGTTAAGCAGTTATACGAAACATTTTATGTACCTACAGTTTAAAACTTATTGTAGAGAATTTTTTTGTGAATCCCACTCTGAGGAGTAAACCCCAACAGCACAAAACTTGCAGCAATATTACACGTTGCAGCAATATTGCTGTAAGTGTATTCTGTAATGTTGGGGAAAATTTAGCTCACTCATAGATTGAAAACTGCGTCACTATTTTATAGGATTAGTTCAATTTTCACTCTTTAGAGTGAGATTTTACTCGAAAGAATTTAGAGAGTATGAAATGTGTGAATATTCACCGAATTCATTTCCCTTCCTTGGAATCGGAAAACTCCGATTTTGATATTATTATCACACATTTTGCATTTTACTTTGTAGATTCATTAGCGTCGCTAATATATGTATGTATAAAGTATTCTTATCTTATGATAAATATGTATTCTTATCTTATAAATTAGATGACGCTAATGAATCCATAACATAATGATATAACTTGCTTATACATATATGTTATATACTAAAAAAATATAATTATATAATCTCCTACTGTTGCTAAAGAAGTTTGATAATAAAAAAGTAAACTGCTGAGTAATTATTTTAATTTAAAAAGTTATTAAACCTCTTTAATGCTTGTTTGAAGAATAAAATTTTCCTTCGTTTCGATTGCAAAAGTATGTGTTATAAAATAAAATTTTTATTTGTGATAAAATAAAATTTTATCATTATTTTTTTAAATTTTAATATGTTTCAAAATCGTATGTGAAAAAAAGAACAAATTTAGTAAATGAATAATTGTAGTTTTAATAAGAAAATGAGATTAAAATACTGCACAAAGTGTAGTGTTTTAGTCTCATTATCTCGATTTATTAAAATTACAATTTTATTTTTCTTATGGGATTATGAGATTGACTTTAATCAATCTGAAAAGTCTACTATTAAAAGATTTATTGTTATTATATATATATAAACAATTTAAAGACTATCATGTTAAATTTATATAAAAAATAATATTAAAACTTGATATTTTATCTCTTACAAAATGAATATTTCATACGCAACCCATAACATATTGATCTATACAAGTGTTACGAATAATTGCACGAATAAAGAAGCAAATTTTATTCCGATAGTGTATCAAGATACTACATTAGCTTTTATCGTGTTACAGGCGCGCGGATGATGTATCGATACTTGCCAAAATCTGTGGGTCTCAGACGTATTACTTTGCACAAATCGATGTCACAAGGCGACAAGATGTATCTGTTAATCTGCGAGTGTTCGCAGCTGCAAGATAATCTATCTGCTGCGGCAATACTTCTACCAGCACTTCGTGCACGTCTGTGCGGATACACCGGACTTTACAGACCCTCCGTGTGCTTCTGATTCCTCACCCGGTTGTTAGAGTCTGCGAGGAACATCCTTTCGAATCGCATTACGTATAACTCTGCAGAAAAATCCAAACGAAATGGTGTCGTATCAAATCTTTTACTTCACGATTCTATTTGTAACTAAACAAGTTAATACCAATATCTTTCAGTTAATAGTGAAACGATGTCGATAAGCAATGGTATCGATCAGCATTTCTATTTTTAATCAGAATTAATTTTGATTGCAGGAACATAATTAATACTATAACGGGAGAAAAGACGCGATACTAATTTGCAGGAACTGAGGGTATATCGTCGTAAATGTCGTTAACGAACGAGACACTGTGATTTCTTATCGTACTACCTATTATAAGGAGCGCAACTTCGTATACGCTTTAGACGAGTCTCGTCGATAATCGACGAAACGGCATGCATGCTCGATTAGATATGCAACTGAACCTATTTGTATTTTTCGACTTTACTATCTCGTTCATTACGCAAACGAGTATTGCCCAAGTAGGGTCACCGAACGAAGCGGAAATGAAATATATACAGAACGAATAATAATAAAATTGATAGGTTGCAGAAAGTATATATTGTAATATATATACGTAATATAAAATAATACAAAACGGGTGTCCGATCCATCTCATACAGATGAAGCGCCAAGGATCCTCGATATTTAATTTCTGGAAAGAACATTTTATGTAGTAACATGGAAAAGTTAACGATGTAAGTGTTGCCGATTAAAGACGTTTGGTCATCCTACGGGCATCGCATTATACAAGCATACAATAACGATCATATACGCAACATACTTTTATTACTATTGATAACTATCGAATAATCGCTAATTACATATCATACTCGATAAACTGTGATATTTGAACCAGCGGCGTATATATCACAAAATGGGACTCTTCTTGAAAACCTATTCTTGAAAATGCTACTCTTGAAATCAATTTAGGTGACTTAGGCACAAGGTAGTGGAACTTCGAAGGCCAACGCGGTAGAACGTAATAACTTCAAGTTCTTTATCGATTATCTTAATATTTGATATTATATGTATATCCGTATACACGGATTTTACGCTCGCGAAATTCGATCGGCAGATGTGTCACGTGTGTGGGTAAATTACAGTTTTTAAAAATAGAAATTTGAATAAAATATATCTTTTACTTCTAATTATGTCACTTTTTCCCTTTTTCTATTTCGTAAAATAAAAAAAAATTCATAAACCTTATTTCAAACGATGATTTTATCACATCTGAAAGAATAGACAAATAAATAATAATATATTATCTTATTTGGAAATTTAATAATCCTTTCCTTGATGTCTTAATTATTTTTTTATAGGAACTTGAAAAAATGTATAACCATACAGAAATAATTTATTTAAAATCAGAGCTCAATTTAAGCTAATAAATTCAAGAATTTGTACTTTATCCACATACAATCTAAAGATTCTTTCCATACATATGGAGACAGATGAGAGTAAAACAAGTATGCGCGGGAAAAGCTTGCAAATCCCATTTTTAGGTGCCTATAGCCATTTTAGAGAGTGAAAGAGTAGCGTGAGTTGGCATTGTAGTACAAAAAAAAATGGTATAGCCAATATACGCTTGTTGCATACAGACAATAGATAGGGCGATTACGCAGGCGTGATCGTCATCTGGTAGATTTGTAATAAAAAAGACCTATATAATGGCGTACTTTATCATACGCCCGAATCGTATACTCGCTGAACACAAAGTGGAACAAAATGCTCTTAACTTAATAACAAAAAAAAAAGAAAAAAAGGGAAGCTAGGAAATTTCGCAATTTTACTGTGATCATACGCGTATCATGTTCGATACACGCATCCATGTGTGCGATTCAGCACGACAAATAAGTGCAATATTATAAAATATGATAAATGCTACAATGAGCCAATATTGTCCAGTCTATATGATGTATAAATCATGAAAAAGAAAAACAGTACATTATAATTCAAATGCGTCAATAAAATATTTGATCCATTGCATTCTCTTTTCTCATCATTGTACAATTATACTGAAACATAAATTCCGATTATACATGGTATTTTGCACATACGTAGGAAAATTTTAATGTGATATTGTTTTAAAAAAGGCTGGACATCGTATTAACCCCTTCAGTAACAAATTAAATACAAGAGATTAAATTAAGATAATTTAAATTATATTTGAATTTTAATAATTTATATTTAATTTATTATTAAAAATATTTTTATCAATTTTTATTATATATTCAATTTTGTTATTTATCATTACAAAACTAAAAAAAATTAATATGGGATGTTTTTTACAAAAATTAATAAAACATTTAATTTGTGATACTGAAGAAATAGAAGGGTACTGAAAGGGTTAAAATATGACCGTTTTTGTTCTTCGAGAAGAGAAACTTTTGCCTACAAAAAGAACTTTTGCTCTATATAGAGGAGTATACCTCCTCAAAGTAACAAGCATACAAAGCTTCATATTTCTCAATTAGGTCTGGCAACAGAATATCAAGAAAATAAGAAAATCTTTGGATATCAGGATACGTAAGTAAATGTGATGAATTGTATGGTACATTGTTACTTCGCAAGTATAATAGATTTATTGAATCGTGTACAACGAATAACAATAAATTACTTCTAACATTAAACGTTATATAACGTTGATTTTCCTTTTCTTCATCAATAAAACATACGTTTTTACAATATTCTTGAGGCTTTCACGGGTGTTACCTATGTGACAATCTTGCGTTTCGCGGGTTTTCTCCGTGTTCAGATCCATTCTTGGAATGCCAACGTTTCGTGAACCTTGCAGTTCACTTCATCAGGGCGAGGAGCAGCCTGATACTAAGTACATACGTTTTTACACTTACTTAAGTTCTTTTTGCATTTAATATATACACATTTGACATTTATTCACAAAGTATTCAATAGAAAAAGTATACAATTTTCTATTAATACATAAATTATATAACAATGTTATAATTATGTCATATATACATATAATATTTATTTCAACATTTAATATCCCCTAGGACCTCTAAATCGCCGCCTACCATCAATCTGTGAGAAAGTAAAGAAAAACAGTAAAACTACATTATAAACATACATATTCCATACATGACTTCTCTGAAGAAAATGTGTATATCTTCTTTCCTCAATATTTAGAAATTATTATGCAAATCCATTTATACTTACTATAGAATGTTTACATTCAAAGAACGTTCTCTGTAAAGCAAAACATTCATTGGGAACTGTGCTATCCTGTGATTTAAGGCATTCTTTGGGGGTGCGTTTGTACTGTCAAAGAAATAACGGTTTTTTCGTTAAACAGAGGAAGAAAAAAATGTGCTTTTATATAATATTTTTTAAATATACACGTCAGACTAGTTTGAAAATCAGAAATGGAAGTTTTGGATATGATCAAATCTATATTGATTATCGATATTTACTCAAAAAATATAAAAAATTACAACCAAAAAATAGAAATAAAGAGACAAAACGAATTATTTTTCGCAAAATTCTACGCACAAGTAATTTTTGAAATGTTCCAAACTAATTTGGAAATCGGAATTGGTAACTTTAGATATGATTGAATCTATATTGATGGATATAATTAATCGATTACTTAAAAAATACAAAAACTGGAGAGAATAAGAAGAGAAGATATATTATTTTTCGTAAAACTACGAATACGTAAAAAAATACGCCTTCGAGTTATAGCAGCATCAGCGGCATTATAGGTTATGACAGTTTCGCGCTCACTTACGATTTTACAACAATCACTTTGAAGCAAACACATTTTGAGATCAGCGCGAACGTTCGCGCATCGGGATTTATCTTTCAACGTTTCCTCTTCGTCAAATCGCATCATCTTGAATGATACTCGATTCTCACGGTCGCTGAAGACGCGTCGCTCATCTCACGCTGATGCCTCCCACAATATGCCTAACCTAACCTAACTCGATCCGATACAATTCATACAATACAAACTTCTTGCAGCTTGCTATTGCTAGATACACGTCCCCATCTGTCACCTGTAACAGCATTTTTCCTGAATACTCATGCATATGCGAACGAACGTTCTCGTTGAAGGGTAAACTTATTCTAAGCATGATCGCATTATGCCGCAAAAATTAATGAATTCGACGTTCGAGGAACAGAAAAGTATTAGGTAATTTTCAAGGTTATCTGATTATCCGATTACAATTTTGTCGCATCATTATTTATATAAACTTCTTGCAACATACGAATAACATTATGTGTACAATAAATTTACAAATATAATCAATTGCAGTCAATAGTGTTTACGGAAAACGTGTACTTTTTATAAGAAATGTAGAAAATGAATCAGTATTATAAATGGAAAGTTTCTTTTTAAATTAAGAATTATTAAAACACACTTTTTAATAATAAAATAAATTCTCAGGCAGACGATCCATCTCCGTGGAAGAGAAAGTTCCCCGCATTATGTGTTTTTACACTCGGATGACGAAGGTAGCACAGATAACATCTCTTTACAAACTATCAAACGTCCTACATCATTATATCGAAAAATTCAGGTGATCAATGTGCAAATAAAACCTGAAGATACCCTGCAAGCATTAGCTCTTCGATATAGATGTACAGTGAGTAGGAAAATGTGATACGTGTTGCATAAAGATATGAAATCAGGCCTGTTTTTTTTATCTAAACGTCATAGTTCGTATTTCTTCTTTTTCTTTTCATGTTGGAGAGAAAAATGAACTGTGTGAGAAGTTCAAATAAAAAGAACAAATCTGAACATATCTTTATGTTTCCTTTTATTTATAATATGCATTGCATAATTTTAGACGTATGTTGTATAGTGAGTAGAAAAATGTGATACATATGTCAAAGAATATCATAAAGATATGCAATCAGGTCTATCCTTTTTTAGCTGAATTTCATGGTTCGTTTTTCTTCGTTTTCTTTTAACATTGGAGAGAAAAATGAACTAAGAAGTTTAACTAAAAAGGACAGCTCTGATAACTTTGTTCTTTTATTCATATAATATGCATTGCATAATTTTTGATGTATAGTAAGAAAACGTGTATGTTTACGTGACATAAAGATATGCAATCGTATCTTTATGCTTATTTATATTCATAATATGCATCGCATAATTTTAGATATCTGAATTGAAAAGAATTAATAAAATCGACAAAGAAAATGAAATATATGCTAAGCCTTATATTAAGGTTCCCGTACAACCATTCTCTATTTTAACTGAGACGTCGCATGAAAATCAAGGCAATAATGCTATCATGTCTGAGCAATGCCAAGAGGAAGCACCTGCGACAACGGGTGAACAACTGATAGATTTAAGTGCCACATCGACGAGCACGGAGTCCTCAAACACGGAAATTAATACGATCATACTGAATTCAGTGTGTGAACCTCTATCGTCCTACAACGGTGCCAACACTCCTGAAATTTCTCACACGGAGCACGATGCATTACTTGATGATGTTGAGAATACAGGAACGGCTGAATCCTGTGAAACAAATATGTTCAAATGTTCGGGCGATAATTGGGGATTGTCCTGGACGCAATTGCTTGTATTCTCGTTACTACTAAGTTTCGCAGGGCCTATTATATACATACTTTATATAGCGGAACACTCAACTAAAACAAATATAACTGTAAGTAACTGATATTTCGTGTAAAGGAATATAAGGATAGAAAGTCACAGAATAAGAAGATATATTTTGCATATAGACATACGTAATTTCCAAGTTGAATAAAAAAACTGAATTTCCATAATTTTCTAATTATCATGAATGTAATTATTCTCTTGTATATTATATAGATTTAATAAAACTATTTGCCAGTGTTTTATTAGCAATCGAAATTACAAATTTATAGTTATATATTTGTATCTATATAAAGAATATATTTTCTTATTTTTACATATAACAGTTCAAAGTCTGAGAACTGTCCTTTATATTGAGTGAGATCTTTTTATAGCTATAACTACTATTAATGAAATTGATAAATTCTAATATTTAGTAATATAAGATATATTAAAATTATATTATTTTTCATGTAGAAAAGTTATTAAGTTGTCATACTATACCAAACATAATTGTGATAAATTTGTGACAAAATTAATTTAATAAGAATGATTAAAATCATTAATAGAAAATAGTATAGAAAATACTGAATACATAAGAAATATTTAGATAAATATTGGTGCCTTTATAACTGGAACTCTCTATTGTTGATCAGTACAATCTAAATATTACAAAACAAATCTGTCATACTTTTGTGTGATTGGAAATATTCAAATTATTTAATATTGCAGATTAATTCAATATGATTATATGGAATTAATTTTTTATGCAACAAACTATTATCTTTATAAATTTATAATTATAGATTTATAATTATAAATTTTGACAAATATGTCTTCTTTCTAAAAATTAAATATTTTTATAATTTATGATACAACATATATGCCAAAATACTTGTAATTATTTTTATATGTTAATACTTGTTAAAAAATGCTGAAATATATTTTTTAAAACTGAGTGATACGTTGTTAATAATTCCACATTTTATCATATGCAATATATATATGATTTAAAAAATTAATTTTTTTGATTATTGGACTTCCTATAATTGGGAATATATATAACATAAATTCTTCACTAAATATGCAAACTATTTTCTTAAAAAATGCCCATTCACATAATATATATTGAAGGAATAACATGTAAAAAATATATGCTATTAGTATTTTTATAGAAATTTTATTTTTATCATTTTGCCAGATTTCAAATATGAGAATTATAATACAGAATTGTGTAATCACGTTTTGCAATTTTTTCCTTACCTCATCCTTGAAATCTGCCAAAAATGTTCTGTAATTAAAACAACAAAAGTACATGAGATATGTTATAAATTTTACATTCATATAAAAAAGTTCATTTTAAGATTGATATTTCATGTTATCATACGATAAGGGTTTTTAAGTCAGTTGATCAGTTGCAAGACAGAGGTCTCGGATCTTTCTGTCTTGCAGTCAATCAACAGACTTGAAATCTTTCGTACTGACACATGAAATGTTAGGCTTAAGAGCCTTAAAATGCAAAAATATTCAGAAATTACGTGATATTCTTCAATATATCTTCAGAAGACCGTCGTGTTTTCATCATTTGAGTTAAATTTTAATAGAATTACATTTGTTAAATAATAGTAATACAAATTGCAAATAATGGATATTACAAACCATTGCTGTAAGATAGATGTTTAGAACTTTTTGAAGCTTTTCTTTGATCCTGTTCCTTTCGATACCTTCAATACATTAAATCTTACTGTCTTGCTCAAAGGTCTGCATTCTCCAATGGTGACTACATCACCAATTTCTACATCTCTGAAATATAACATAAAGTTCATGAATATTAATGATAAATTAATTACTAATTCTTCTTTAAATATTATTTTGTAACTCAGATATATAATGATCATCAAAACTCAGTAGACCATCGTGATTATCATCATAAAAGTGGAAATTAAAAGAATTTTAATGAATAGAATTATTTTATTGCTTATGTACCTGAAACAAGGACTGAGATGGACACTCATGTTACGATGACGCTTCTCAAACCGATTGTACTTCCTAATATAATGCAAATAATCCCTACGAATAACTATAGTACGTTGCATCTTCATCTTTTGCACAACGCCAGTAAGAATACGTCCTCTAATCGATACATTGCCAGTGAATGGACATTTCTTATCAATATAGGTTCCTTCAAGAGCCTGCAAAGATTAAACCACCAAAATATATAAAGCATCCTATGTATCCTTTACTAATAAAAAATAGATGTAAAAATATTCAGAAAATATAGACTCTTCAAAATATCTTCAGAAGACCATCGTGATTATCATCATATATTAAACAATCTGTAAAAACATTCAGGGAATATAGGATGGAATCCATAGTCCGGTTTTAATCTCAAGCAATGTCTTAAGATGCTAATACAGCTCTCTGATTGGTTCATGCACTAGCTTAAGACCATCTCGAATCTTGAACACTGTCTATGGATTCCATCCATAGACTCTTCAAAACATCTTTACAAGACCATCATGATATTTATTATTAAACAATCTGTAGTTAATTAAATCTTAATCAACTCTATTTCTAATTCAATACATTTTAGCCCAATGAATTACATCCTACTTGAATAATATTTTAGAACAGGTCTGTTTTTTTATAGCTGAACTAGTATACATTTTTGGAATTTAAAGCAAAATAAATATGTTTGATATTTGGTAAAAGCGAGAAAGAAAGTTCTAGTATAATCTAGCAGAGGAATAAAAACAAATTAAATCTTTGTATATTCAACTATTTTTGTTTCATACAAAAGGTGAGTTTCTTAATTCATCAATTGATTAATCGCTTTATGTACAAATACAATTTTACTCCATAAAAGCTGCATTTGTAACTGATCAGTCGATGAATTAAAAAACTCACCTGTACTTGCTAAGTTGGACTGCCTTCCTTTTACGAGACATACACGTTGTTTGTTTCCTTGGCATTCAATGAATAATAAAGATAAAACAGCACTTACATTGAACATGTCTCCTAAAAGGAAAGCAACCTTAATCAATATGCTTCTTATACATGAATATGAAATAAATTAACAGTACATGAAACATATCTGTTTTAAGATTATTGACTAAAATCATATCAGAACAATGAACATCAGAGCAAGACAGATTTGTACTTACTTCGCGAGGTGTTTTGAAACCAAGCCCCACATTGCGGCTGTATCTCATAGGCTTCCTGCGCTTCGGGCCCAGACCTTTCTTACGGTTAAGAAAGATCGTGGGCTGCTTCTGGAACGCGCGTTCGCTCTATAATAAACGAAATCGTATGGATTACATGCTATTTCTACTCCTAAGTGTCCGGATCTTTGCGCGCGTGGACGACCTAAC